TTCCGCCAGCGGCCTGGTCGAAAACGCTTTCACCGTCGACCTCAGTGTTGATTCCCTCCATGGCCAACCAATCTCCTCCGGATGGCGGCGCCTAATTAATTTTCGAAAACCCTAAGCTCCCGAGCCATGTGACGCCCCCTGAGATCAGATCTGTCCTGGGTGATTTGGGTCATTCCAGCTCAACCCCCTCTCTTCAATCTGGGCCTTTTGCTTTTGCCCAGGCCCAATCCCTTCTAACCCCACCCCTCACTTCCTTTAACCGTTTTGAGCCCCTCCCTAGGTCCAATTCGGCCCCTTCACTTGGCATAACCCCTCCTCACCACTTTGAGGGCAAAATTTCAAAATTGGTCCTATAACTTAGCCACAGTCCAAAAAACCACCCCGATATTGACCACTTTCAATTTTGGTCCTATAATTTGTCGATTTCATCATTTCTGGTCATTTTTTATCCCAACCCTGGATAAAAATTTGACGTGGCATCCCGTGTCATTTTTTTGTCTGACGTGGCGTGACGTGGCGGCTTCATTTGTATTTAATAATTTATTTATGCCATGTAGGAATTATAATACTCAAGTGGAAAATAAAATAAAAAAAAAATATTAAAAAAAAAAAAAAAGTAGATCGTAGAATTGGTTTCCCGCATCCCAACGTCAACACCAACATCCCGGCGTCCAACACCAGCATCAGTCTGCCGCCTGACTTCCAACATACAGACCTTAGCCAAGCAATTCACGGCGTCCAACACCATATTCTGCCCGTCGTCGGAATTCCATTATACAGACCATAGCCCAGCAGCTGCAGCCGGCGGCATCTGGGCAAAGCCATCCGTCGACTGCACATCCCTTGTGCGAGAGCCCGTTTACCAGCCACTCATTTAGAGTCCAACAACAACGCCTCCACCATCGCAGTCAAGGTCTCCATTTTCAAGAGCCAGTCGTGTTCTTGATATCCCGCCGGAAAAAAAGGCTGCCGTAAAAGTTGTCGGATATGGAGATGTTGGACATCATTGGGTGCACGACGGTCGGAGGGATCTAGAAGTGTCCTCCGATTTCGGTGGATCGCGGTACATCGCCAGAAAATTGATGAAGAAAATTGAATTTTGACCGAATTTTCTAAATCTAAATACTTTGACAAGAGCAATTAACATCTTTACAAGTGGAATTTTTTGCCGGAAATTTTAGGAGGTGAACAAGGACGAGAAGAGCTTCCAGATGATATAAAAAAAATAATCGGATGTCGTCAGCCGGCGGCCGCCGCCGGCAGCGGCGGCGGGGCAGAGGAGGAGGGGCCAGATGAATAAAGAAGACATAAACTGATGTGGATTTTTTAATTTTAAGTAAATATTTCATAATCCTGCCACATAAGCAATAGTCACGCCACGTCTGATTTAAAAAATGCCACGTCAAATTTTTGTCCGGGTTGGGATAAAAGAGGACCAGAAATACTGAAATCGACAAATTATAGGATCGAAATTGAAAGTGGTTACTATTGGGGTGGTTTTTTAGACTATGCCCAAGTTATAGGACCAATTTTGAAATTTTGCCCCACTTTGGGCCTTCATCCTCACACGCCCATCCCTCCCCTTCTCCCCCCCTTCTACAGCACACCTCGCCACCACTTCTCCCAGCTCATACACTCTCCTATACAGGCCCTCGCCCTACACCTATCTATACAGTAACCCCTTCCCGGGCCACCTCACCAACCACCACCTCAGCCTCCCTGCCTGGGGTTACCCTCCCGTCTGACGACTTCAGCACGGATTGCTAGGCCACGGCCCCCCCGTCCCCTGAGTCACCGGTTCTCACATTTTGTTGCCTGAATTGCTAGGCCATGGCCCTACCTGTTCGTTGGGCCCCACCTTATCGACGGTCGGCTCCCCAGGCCCGTTCCCCAATGCTGCTAAGCCTGGGCAGCCCCTGTTGGGCACTCATTTGAGCTCTTCCAGGCCGGCCACTACGACGGCGACACCAGCCTTGGCCCCCGCCACTACCCGATCCTTCCGGAATGCGATTACCACTAATCCCGCTGGCAAGTCGGGCCACTAGAGATGATCGCTTGAATCATTTCGGGATAAGCAACGGGGGACTATCACGAGCTCCTAGGAAGGACAATTTACGGTTAGTTTTCCTGAGCATGATATTTCTTCCTTAGTAGAGTTGTTTGCTAATGCCCATATTTTTAAGTTTTCCTTCTCTGTTCCCTCCCTTCGAGACTTATCTGTTGGATTAGGGAAACTGGGTTTTAATGGTAGACTTACTCCTAGGTAATTTAACTTCAACCATTACCTAGTGTTTTTAGAGTAGAGAGAGGACTATAACACAACGTGGATTAAGACGTCTATGAACATGTGTGGGTGCTCGGCTCGGGTGTTTAAGTACACCCCTGACTGCTTCCCTTTGACTGAGTCTCTCATTGTCCTGGTTTGGTGCTGTCTTCCAGGCCTTCCAACGCATCTATTTTATCCCACTGCCCTCATCTCGATTGCAAGCTATATTGGCAATCCGATTGATGTTGATGATGCTACGACCAACAGGTCGAAGTTCTCCATCGGACGGATGTGCGTTGAGATAGACCTTCGTGGTGAGCTCATCGAAGAGATTGAGCTCCACCAGGCAGGGAAGATCACCGCCCAGAAGGTGGTCTATGAGAGAGTTCCACCTTTCTGTTCTCTTTGTGACCATGTGGGTCACACTGCGGCTGATTGCTACATCAGAAGCAACAAGCCCTGGCCGTCACTCCTCTCTCGTCGCCGTGCGGCTATATCGGGCCCCGTTTTTGCTCCCCAAGACCCAATGTGGAAGGGCAAGGCCCTTGCCCTAGCGCCTGAGTCCCAAAAGGCACAAAAGGATAAGGCTAATACCGTTCTTGAGACTACCTCCCGGGTTGGGAAGGGTTCCCAACCTAACCGGTCTAAGGGAGTGGCTCTGGACAGGTCGAAGTCCAAAGCCACGGTTCTCTTTCCCCATCAGTCCCTTCAGACGGCCCCTATGGCCATTCACTCCTACTTCTCTATCCTCTCTTCAGAGATGGAGGATGAGCCTGCATCCTCCTCTTTTTCCCCGGGAAGCACGTCCAGCTTCCCCCTAGATGATGATAATATTCTGATTGATGAGACGGACCAGACTGTCTCTTTAGCGAGTATGGTTATGTTCCCCATCCTCACCACCAGCCCTCGTGCCACAGCAGCGGCCTGCGCGCCGGCTATCCCTACGGTATCTCCTCAGGTTTCGAGACCTGCTCTTACTTCCTTTCCCTCGGTGAAGGTTGAGGCATCCCTTACCCGATCCTCTGAGAGTGAGCATTTGGTTGTGCTCACAACCGATGCCACTTCTCTGCCCTTAATTAGAGCCCTTCAAACTCTGCCTTCTGACCCTCTCCCCTTCCTCTCCAAGAGTCGGGACCCACACCTGCCCATGACAAGGACCTGCCCGTAGCAGAACCGGGAGTTCATCAGTTGCATCCCCTGGAGGATACCTTTTCTGAGAGCCTAGATCACCCTCGGACCAAATCTCTGGAGGATATTCTTTCTGTGAGCCCAGTCCTCCACCGTCCTCAGACCAGATCGAGGACCACGCGACGCTCGGCCAGCCGAGCCTTACCCCTCACAGATAGACAGACTCAGCCTAGCCACGGGCAGACCTAGTTAGGTGGCACCCCTGACATTTAATATGTCAGTCACATCCCTAACATGGAATGCCCGTGGCCTGGCTAATAGAGCCATCCTAGCTCACGTTCGCTCCCTTGTTCGTGAACATAGTTTTGACTTTAATTCTTTTCCAGAGCCCATGACCCGTGACCCCTCTTTTGACCTTTTCTCCCACCGCCTTGGTTTCCACTCCGGCATGGGTAACGTTTCTAATAAGATCTGGTTCTTTCACTCAAGTGACTTTACTTGTCGGGTCATCCATGACACTGAACAGGTCCTGCACATTGAGCTCTCTGCTGCCCATCTCCCGGAACTAATCTTCCACACCCTGGTTTATGCCAGTTGTGCGAGGGTTGATCGCTATGATCTGTGGGACACCATCTTTCTTCATCCCGATGAGCGTGTTGGTGGCCAGTCTGACCGCTCCGCGGAGATCTTAGATTTCTCTCAGGAAGTGGTGGATTGCGAGTTAATCGATGGGGGATACAAAGGCTCACCCTTCACGTGGGAGCAGGTCGAAGTCAAGGAGAGGCTCGACCGTGCTTTAGTCTCTGAGGCATGGACAAGGGTGTTTGCGACCACGACCGTCACACACCTCCCTCGAATTGAATCTAATGACACTCTCCTTCTTATCTAGTATCGGTTTTGAACACCCCCCGTTGCTCCTTTCGATTGAGAACATGTGGGTCTATCACCACACGTTTTACAACACGGTTAGGACTTTTTGGCATCAACTGATGGGACACTATAGAATGCGCAACCTAGAGGCGAAGCTCGGGAGACTGCAGCATTGTTTGAAGCAATGGAATTGGAAGTATTTGGAGACATTTTGTAGTGCCTTGCTGCAGCTCAGAGTGCGTATGCGGAGGCTGAGCGAGCTTATGATCAAGACTCATCTCCAGGGAATAGGACCGCAATGCGCCGCTGTCACGCTGTGTACCAGCTCCGTGTCCTTATGGAGGAGGATTTCTGAAAGCAGAAGGGTGTCATCTGCTGGGTTGCTGATGGGGAACGTAAAACTAAGTGCTTTCAGGGGTTTGTGAGGTAGAAGCATTTTAAGTCGCATATCTATTGTATCGAGGATAACGGGCCTTCCCTAACTCAAGAGTCCCAGATACGGCAGTTGGCTGTGACACACTTTCAGTCCCTCTTCATCTCAGATCGGGACTTATTTACGCTCCCCAATGCTTCCTTTTTCCCCCACCATCCCGTAGTCGATCAATCCTGTTGACCTCTGGGACCTCCCGAGTATGGCGGAGATCAGGAGATCAGGGAGGCTGTTTTTGGGATTGATCCCAACAGTGTCTTTGGCTCGGATAACTACTTGTCTCTCTTCTTTCAGACCTGCTGGGAGATTGTTGAGACAGACGTTGAGGAAGCTGTGATGGATTTCTTCTCGGGTCACTAGATGCCAAAGTCCTTCATAGCAACCTCTATTGTTTTGATACCCAATAGACTTGGTCCGAGCTCCTGGTCCGATTATAGACCTATCAGCCTTTGTAATGTTACCAATAAGCTCATGCCCAGGATCCTGAACGTTCGCCTTGCCCCACTCCTCCGTTCCCTTGTTTCTCCGAACCAGAGTGGCTTCATCAAGGATCGAGTCATCAGCGATAACATCCTCTTGGCCCAAGAGATGATCCACGACATCTCCCATGTGAACCGGTTGCGAGCCTCGAACCTTGTGCTGAAGCTAGACATGGCTAAGGCATGTGATAGGGTCGAGTGGCCGTTTCTTAGAGAGGTACTATTTTGGATGGGCTTCCCCGATTTAATTAATTTTGTGGAGGCGTGCGTGGAGCACTGCACGTTCTTGGTTCTAGTTAACGGTAGTCCCACCGACTTTTTCACTTCTAACCATGGCCTTCGGCAGGGAGACCACTTATCCCCATCCTTTTTTGTCCTGGCGGCGGACTACCTGTCTTATTGCCTTGACGGCTTCATTCACGACTTTTCGAAGATGAACTATAGCACGCATAGCTATGGTCCCCCCATCTCGCACCTCTCTTATGCGGATGACATTATTATCTTCACTCACGCGGATAATAATGGACTGGTCGAGCTCATGCGCCTCCTAGGGCATTGTAACTCGGTCTCTGGTC